CAACTGCAGCAGCGGTCAGACCAGCGTGTCTGGGCAGGCCTGTCTGGCAGGAGTCATCACCGGCAAGGAAAGGAGCAGTGAAACTGTCTGGAAAAGGTGAAAAATGGCTTGGCTAACCAGATCTTGTTCCTGTTGCCATTTGGCTACACTATGCCCGCTGGTGCAGTTGCTGTCTGTATCCTAAAATACAGTTTTCCTTCCTACTCTCCAAAACAGTTCCGAGAAAGGGATTTTTGTGACTTTGTTTTTCCAGGAAATCAAAGAACAAGAATTTTATTGTTCTTTCTTTTCACATAATTCTAAGCATTTTGGTGTAAGAGCTGTGAGAGGAATAAGAGAAGAGTCAGAAAGGAGTGAGGGCGCATGTGTTCGCTTCCGTGGGAGCAAGGACCTCTCCTTTAGGTGGGGGGGTAACCCAGAGAAGAATCACCTTAGAATTAGTCTAATTTTTGGAGGCAAGATATTTTGAGGTTACTTTCAGGAGTCGTGTGAAGAATCAGTAACCTTCCAGGTGTCTGATTGTGCCCCAGAGGAAGTAGTGAAAGAAGTGAAAGAGAAGGTAAGCGCGCAGGCAGACAGAATTATCCTGATTTATGCCCTGGAAAAAAAAAAACCCAGCAGTTAAACCTAATTAAAAAAATCAGGGTAGTTGCTTTTTTTGTATCTATCTACTGCTTCTATGTCTTTACTGCATAAAACTGTGAGTGACTGTTGTCTCTTGTGCTAACAATAAAAAAAAAAAGTCATGGACAATCAGCTATGTATTAGCTGTTGTGGGAGATTTTCCCTCCCGGGTCAGAGACCAGCTGATAGCAGGAGCGCAGAGCTATAGCTCTGCTGTACCACAGCTCTGCCGGTCCTCTGGAAAAAGCAGGTACGGCTTTGATATCCCGGTGGCTGTATTCCTCAGGGAATATAACACAAGCTACCATGACAACTTCTTGTAAATAGAAGTCATTTGAGAACGAAATAAATCTGAAGTGGCCTTGTGGCTGTAAAGTAAATCTAAACTGTACAAGAGGTCTTTTTTTTCTAATTGAGGATGACAGAAGGGAAAGCTGGCCGTTGGAGTGCACCGAGCAACGTGAAGGACTGAGAATCCTATTGTCGTAAAAACACGAGGAAAAATTTCGGTGTTGCATCACTGTATATTAAAGTGATCTTATATCTGACGTGGCATTGGAGTTGAATGCAGCTGCAAAAAAAAGAGACCCCAGAGATTCCTTTCTTCCTTCAGCCATAACCAAATGAGACATCAGAAGCTCTCTGAAAAAGAAGGAACATTAAATTTGAAACATTAGATTTGAGATATCACAAAAAGCAGTTTTCAGAATTGAGAGTCTGAATTTCACTTCTGAGGCAGATCTCTCTCCCCACCCTCAGCTGAAAAGTTTTTCTCTAATTTTCCTCAGTTCCATTAACAAGTACCTTACATACAGTAACTCTGCTTCAGAAGTACCATGTTACAGGGATGATGGGTTATGTTTTACTTGACCTGCCTCGTAGAATAGTTTCCAGCGGAGCAATTGCCATTATGTTTTCCACTGTTTGGAGGATTTTCTGGTGGGGTGGGGAAAGAGGAACAGGAACATAGCAGAAAGGCTAACACAACCTTACAAAATAGACTTTATGTAGACTTAATTCCAGATTAGCACCGCTAGGAGCTGTAATCTCTGCCGGCCTTTTTCCTTTATGGAAACCTATAAACCTATAGGTCTGTAGAGACCTATAACCTTTGGTCTCTGCAGAAGTTTTCTACCGGAGGATGTAACGCTAAAACTGATGGATACAGGGAGGGATGCCGTTTATTCTTTAGTCAGGGCTTTGCAATCTCAAGGGAGAATGACTCTTCCTTGTACCAAGATGTTACTGTGTGCCTTTGGCGGAAGTTTTTAAAATGTCTCTCCAGAAACACGTGATTTTCTAGGGCACGTAGTCCAAGGACAGTAAAGCAGGACTGAAGGGTGTTAGTGGATAATACCCATGCTGTGCCCATGCGTGAGAAAGCTCATTCTAAGAATGGTCTAATGCTGAGTTAATGGCGAAACAAACCTTCAACATTTATCAGTTGGCATAAGATCAGAGCAGCCAGATATGTAGTAAGAGCTAGGGCTGCAGCACTGGTCCATCAAGATGTACTGCTGATGTCTTACAACACTTTTGAAGCAGTTCTTATCAAAAAACATTTTTTTTTTAGAGAGAGGCCCTATTTAAAAAAAAAACAGAGGTTCATCAACCATGTGGTCAGCATCCAGTCATATATGCTTGTGGATGAAGAAGAACATGAAGAAGAAACAAGTATCTATTTTGTATTCTGCAGAGCTACGTGTAAAGAGGAAATACGTATCTAACATTTCCTTGCTTAACAAACTGGCCCAGAATTGAAAGAGCAGCGTTTGCAGGCTGGCCCTTGAATGATGTATTTTTTCCTTCTGTAAAAGGGTATCTTTGCATCTGGAATCCTGTGAAGGAACGAAAGATGGAAAAATTGTTAGGCAGTAGCCACAGCTGGGGACTTTTTCATAGAAATGAAAGTCCAATTATTTGCCCGTTTAAAATGTTCTCCAGCACAATATTAACACAGAAAGGTCTCATGCAAAGAGGTTCTGGTATAGCTCCAGTTATTTCTGTTTATAGCTAGAGGTCTCCTCTTCTGCATTTGAAGAAAGAGAAAATAAGCATACCTCCATGACATTTGAGAGGTACAAATTAGAATAGAATTATTAGGTGGGTTTCATTATACTTTTAATCGTTAGAATACAATATTTATATATTTTTAAGCTTGGGATTGTAACTGGCAACTGAAATTTAGGTCCTAGGAAAATAGTTATACCTACCCCTTCCTGTTTTTGAAGATTTCTGCTCAAAAGAGAAGTTATGGTTCCTTTCCCAGATGTTCCAGATTTCCTGAGTCACTTACTCAAGCCTGACCGCTAGATATAAGTGCCTCCTTAAACCCAGTTTCTTCAGTTCAGCCTCCAGCCTTGCAATTACAAAAAGCTACCAGTAGTATAGGAAGGTTAATAATATGTGGAGCTCAGAAGAGTTGTTTCCCTGATTTATTCCGTGGAAAAGGACACAGCACACATAAGATTTCATCTTCTTCACTGCCAAAGATGGGTAGAGGAAAATGTTGGTAAATCCTTTGGCTAAATTAAAGTAAACATGAGGGGATATGTTTTTGTGTAACTTTCCATTAGGCTCTTAAAATTCTTCACAGAGATTCATCTTTTAAGTCGTGTAGTAACATATGAAGTAGCAATGTAGTAATTCAGTTATTAACAGTGTTTATTAGTGCTGTTTATGCCTGGATAGTTTTTATGTGGAGTATGTAAGTCATTTTTGGTGTTAAGCAATTGTAAGAGTAAGCAAATTAATACAGAAGCTTTTATTTAAGACCCTGTGGTGCCTGGTTCAGCCTCAGTCAAACCTGGGTGATAGTGAAAATTCAAGCCAAACGAAATGACTCCTCTTTTGGTTTTGATATGCTTGTTTACATTTGCATTTGCAAATGATTGCAATATGAAACACATATGTCAAAGCGTGCTGATGAGGGTGATGTTATATAGTTCTGCCGGTGCTTTGTAGTTTGGTCGTTTGTAGATAGTTCCCATTGAACTTGCACAGATGGAGCTTGAAGCATAATAATTTGTGGTGAATACTTTATAGTTTATGGCCTAACAACTCAGGGCCAGTTTGGCCAAGTGTGACTGCTGCTTTTTTTTTTTTTTTTTTATAAACTTGGCATGAATTACTCCCATGTGCTTCAGTTCCAGTAATTCAATATTTTGTTCCTTATTTTTGTTGTTCATTATGTAACCAGAATATTTTCAAACCCTTGTAAAGATTATGCCTGTTGTACACATTTTTAAGCATATTTTGGATTTAGTATGATTACACAATGTGATGTGATTAGACCTGTGGCTGTTCTGAATTCTGAAGGCCTTTGGCAAGCAAGCCGTGCAAACTTCTCAGCCAGTGGTAATTTTTAATTAAAATCTATTTAATCTCAAATTAAGCTTATGTGAAATTGCTATTTGTTCATGTTTTAAACAATTTAAAATGAGATGCAGGTGTGGGGTGGGGGAGGACTGAATCATTGCATTTAAGGGGTGATGCCTTGCATCAGAGAGATTCTACGTTAAAAGGGAGGCTTGGGATCCAAGCCGCAGTTCTTCCCTGGCAGATCTTCAGCACCCAGCATCAGGTGCTATTGATCACCACTCAGTATTGGCTTTTTTGAGCAGGCTGATGCTAAACTTGACACTTGCAAAGAAAATTTCATTGTGCGTTTAAAAAGGAGCTCTGAAAGTCCCAGGGCTGGAACACAAAATAGCATAAAGAGAGCAGACAGCAGGAGGGGGAGTATAGTTACAATTTGTTTTTGTTAAAGATGAACGTGTCTCCTTGTCTTATGGTCTTGTTTTCTGCACTCTCACGGAGTTGTGTGATCCTCTCTAAGCTGTGAAAATGAATTGGTTAGTTCGTCTCTGTGCACCATGTCTCTGTCTTCTCCCTCTTTGCTATATATCTTACGTATTTTCAGAACATTGGCATATTCTCATTCAGGTTTTGTTTATTGCCGTAAATACGCTCTAAAACAGGATTAGAGTCCCCACTGAAGGCAAGATATGCCATTTGCTGAGCAAGTGGCTATATTTACACTGTAATTTCTTGTGAATTTTTCTGTGGGATTTGGGTACCTCCCTTTGAGTATAAGGAACCTTCAGCTCTGGTTGTCCGGATGCTGAGTGCCTTTTGCAAGATGATGCAGCACAAGCCCTGCTAGGGACTCCGTAACCACTTGTTACTTAAACGTGACACTGATTTCACAGGCAAGGGGAACCGTCAGAGCCCTTATTGTTGCTCACCAGTGGGTGGATGGGGATAAACCACCGGGCATTTCAGAAATAAAACAGTGAACTTGAATCATGGGATTATCTGATGAAAGGAAGAAGACATTAATACAGGACAACAATTTTTCTTCTCTCTCCTAACAGGATCTCAGCTCGTTTGCCATGCCCTTCTTGGATGGTGATGTGGAGAGCACAGACAAAAATGCTTCTCGCAAGGTAGGATATTTTCAAAGCTTCACCCTCACTCTAGTGGCCGATTCCCTTGGTGATAAACACAATGTATTAGGTTTACAAAGGCCTGGAGTTTTAATCTTACCTGCTTTACCTGTAACCTCTTGGGAGAGGTCCACCAGGGCAAAGGTAATGACTTGTGCAGAAGACCCCTTACCATGGCTGTGCTTACGCAGTATATCCTTTAAAGGATGATAATGTCTGTAGTGGTATTGCTTTAAACACTGCGGGTGTTATGTGTAACACTGTTGTAATGAAGTGGTATTGCATAACCGTATTCTTAGGAACATAGCAAGCTACCAAAATTTGCGGTGTTGCTAGAGTAACACAGTGCCCAAATAGGCATCTGTGGCCTGTTTTCCTTGAATTGCCTCCTAATAGTTGTTCTCTGACTGGAGAGGGTTTGTTTAACTATTCATTTTCCTTGATCTATCCATCCTTGGCTCTGGCAAAACGAGCTGTGTTCATCTGCTGAAGCCAAAGCAGTAAACAAGGTGGGAGGGTGTGCCTCCACGATGTGGATTAACTCAGGTTGTCAAGCTGGAGGCATTGCTGTGCTTTATTTTTCCAGCAGCCTGCTATTAAATTAATCCGATACATTCACAAAATTGCCTTGCTTTAAAATAATCAGGCAAGCATATTCAGCAGATAACGTTGGAAATTGTTAAGACATAACATACATGTTTTCAGAGCAACAAAAGTTGTAGGCGGGATCTTTCATGTTCAAGTCTTGGCCTCATAGTTTTCACAGAGCTTTGAAATACAAGTTGGTCTGCTAAGTGTAAGCCTCCTACCAGCCAAGTTACAGACGTGGTGAAGGGAGCGACTACGCAAACAGCTGATCTGTAGCTACACAGCAGACCAGTTTGGCTTGTGACAATACTTACAAGGATATGGACCTCTGTTAAGATTAAACCCGCTATGGGCCATTTGTCACAGTGTCAGCGGTTGTAGTTCAAGGCAGGTGAAGCAATAAATATCTCCTCAGTGAAACTAATCTACTTCTAGACTGCTAATAATTTAGCTGCCTTGACAGCACGAGTTCCTATTCCTTTGCACCTCACAGCAAAGGACAATTGTTTAAAAAACTTCTGCAATCCATCAGTAGTTGAATATGTTTATAACATTGGCCTTGTCCTTTTCTGCATTGGACCTTTTAAGACTGTGACCTTAGAGTCAACGATGGACACAAAGGAAATCATGTAAATGCCAGGGAAGCTAAAATAGGCTGTTACTAAAGACACTTGTTTGATGGGTTTGAATAAAGTGAACGATGTGACATTTTTTGAAAGGGTTGTCGTGCTGGAAGAGGGCAAGTGTTTCTAGCTGAAAATTGATTTCTCCGTTTATCACCTCCTTTTCCCGAAGAATGATGAGAGAGCTCCATGAGTCTCAGTCCTGAAAAAATATACTGAGGCTAATCATACTCATAGGCACTACTGTGTAATATATCTTAAAAGTGTTCCTTTAGCATTTGTGATGTCCCTGTTTTTTCTCTTACTGGTCTGGTGATTCTCTTTTGATGAGTAGTTGTCTTGAAGAGAACTAGAAGAGCATTTCAGTAGTCACCTCTTTTTGCAGTTTCAGTGAGCGCTATTTTTCTCCCCAAACTGGGGTCAAGCTCTTCTAATAGAAGTGGGATTCACTTTGGAATAGCCAAAAAGGGGCTTGACATCTGAAATTGCTTTATTTAACTGACTTTTTTGATTGAGCATGTAGGATACAGAGTTTTTTCTAACATTGTACTTAGAGCTCTGTTCAACACGTGCAACAAAGTGTTAAAAAAAAACAGTCGACTAAGCCCAGCTTCTGGTAAGATCATCCAATAAAATCTGTTGCCATGCATCTCATCCTAAGCCTCACTTTTCTCCTCAATGGGGAGGATGGGATCTTTGCTGTTAGTGAACGATGACTTGTGTCAGACTGTACTATCTTATGTAATAGTAAAAGTTTGCCCATCGCTGCTGCGTCTACAGAAGAAAGTGCCTGAGTTACTGTTTACTTTCTAGTTACACGGTTTTCCTTTATTCAGGTTTGAAATCGCAGTCTGATGCATAACTTCTGTATGCTAAAAAAGTCAGTATTTCATTAGTAGCATGGATTTTCTGTTCACCCCTCGTATTGGAGGGTAGCAATTAATCAGGGATGTCTCCCTTCTTGCACTTAACTCCTCTATTGCCTGGGCAATAGATCAAGTTAGAGGAGAGTCGTTCACAGCCTGTCTCTCAGCCACAGCTCACAGCCTTTCTGATCTGCCATTAATTGAATTCGGTGGTCTTTGTGAAAGGCTTTTAGAAACTGCGTTAACATTTTTCACAAAGATTCTCAGCACTCGACCATGGAAGTGTCTGTCAGTCATTATCCGATGACAATCGACCTCATTACGCAACTAGGGAACTGAAGGGCAGAGAATTATTTGCTCGGGTTCAGATAGGATTTTTTTGGCAGCGGTGGTAATGTGGCACACATTTCCTGAGGTTTAGTTGAGTACCTTAATCGCTTATCCTTAACATGGTTGTTATTATGAGCAGTAAGTAATGTATTCTTACTTCCTTCCTGACCTGATGGGAGGAAGGGTATAGGGAACTTCAGTTTTCCTCTTTCTCCCTTCAAGGCAGAGAGTATAACGGGCTACTCTGAAGACTCTTGTGTGGAAGTTTGTGGCATGGTGTGATGCATATAGGTAGCTCTTGTTCCTGTGGTAGATATTCTGTGCCTTCCTGTACCCTCACAAAGTACATTAATACTTGCGCTGGTGGCTTCCTCCAAAACAACTGGTATTGTTGATTGGCCAGTGCTCCTAGCCAGGGCTATCCTGAAATGACTTGAATCCTTCTTAGAAGGACCTTAGAGGAGGATTAAGTATAGCAGTATAGGCAGGGATAAGCGGGAGCTGAGAAGTAATTAAGTATACTAGAGCGCCTCAGTCTGGGAAAAAGACAGTGGAAGAGGGGCTTTGCAGATGCCTGGGGAATCATGAGTAAGGAAGAAGAAAGCAGTAAGTCTGGTGTGGTATGGCAGGACAGTGGCCAGATGAGGGCCCCTCTGTGTCAGTTTTAGAGGTATTAACACCTTTAATGCTTTTAGATCCTTCATCTGAAATGCAGATTACAGGATAAGATGTGGAAATTATAGAAAAATAATAGTCATTGCTTTCAGTTGAAAGCCAGGGAACTGTGAATGATTTAGAGAAGAAAATGACACAAAAAGAAAACTGTCCGCAGGGCAACAACTTGCAAAATATATATGGAGGAGGGGGTAGGAAGAAGAAAAGAAATCTGAAGAACAATATTGATCCATTGCTTTATGGAAATAGTAGAATTGTCATAAAATATAGAAGGAAGTTTAGAAAAGAAGTCTTCATTAAAAATTCTGTTCTTTACAAAGGGAAAAATAGGTGAGATGTTCATCTTGGATGATAACGGTGACTGTCCTATTAATGGTTTAAGTGTATTCAAAACAGAAGGCACTAAAGCTAGAAATGTTGAGAGTTAAGAGAAATAACTCAGATGAAACAGTTTTGAAATAACTGGCAGGGCTTTATCTGACGGACTGGTGGTGATTATGAACAAACCTGGGAGCAGAAATGCAGTCCCAAAAGACTGTAAAAAAGCCACTATTGTGTTGATACTCACGCAAAATGTTTGCAGTTAGGGTAATTTACAGGTTTGTTAATCTAAGATGAGTCCTTGGTAAAACAATGAAATATCTGATGTTGGATAATTAATGTGGCTGCTACAATAGACTCATTTTCATTGGAATTAATGACAAATGGTGCTTATTAAACAAATTTGGGTTTTTAAGTGGAATTATACATTTGAATGAAAAATGTAAGAGAATTGGTGTCACATGCATCTACAATCAGTACTGCAGGATGCTTTGATTTAAGAAACGAGAATGATAATAAATAAACAAGGAGTCTATTAAATAGATAAAAACGGAGCTGATAAAGTAAATTGAGACTCATCAGTGGAAAATTTTGTTTCTAGGTAGACAAAACATTCGGTTGCTGTACTCTATAATACTGCATCAGAGATTTGAAAGACATATAAACTCATCATTGATAAAATTTATAGTTTGTACAAAAATGAGAGTGGAAGGCAGTGGTAAAGAATGAACAGGAAGTTCTCCAGTGCAGAATGACCTGAATCACTTAAAATTCACTTAGCAAGCAAGCAGAGCCCGTTTCGGTTGGGCCAAATTGGGATCAGTTACACCTAGGAACAAACAGTGTAAACTGTATTTCTGTGAAGTCTTTCACAAGGCTTGATTAGGTTTTGATACTAATGATAGATAATCAGCTCTACAAGGATTCTGGATATGATATTGTGGCTAAAGGATTGTTTTTTTTTTGGGGGTGTACAAATGAAGGAATAGGGCAAAAAGTAGGCTTTGTTACCAGTGTGTCTGGTAACTGGTTGCAGTTCTGCCCTCAATAAAGAAGGAAAATGTTGATGAACTGGGATCAAAAGGAACTGAGGAATGACTCCCATATTGAAGGACTGGTTCTGGTCCCAACATTGTTTTTCTGCTTTGTCCAGTGACTCATAAATGGGAACTGCACAACAAACCCTTGGAACAGGGAGGAAAACCAAAAATGCTCCAGTTTTTCGGTCCCCCGTTACTGGATAACCAAATAAATCTCCCTTTGGTTTATTTTTCCCAGCTTTTTAATTATCCATTTCTTTCAGCGAGCCTCGACGGGAGGCTGTGAGCGATGACCGCTGCCGAGCTGTGTGGGTGGCTCCTTTCCATCTGCTGCTTTCAAATAAATGCGATGCGGAGGTAGAGGTTAGGAGGTGGAGCCAGGAGCCTTCTGCTCTCACCCAGACCCAGCAGCACCTTAAGCTTGCTTGCTCTTTGCCTTTCGTCCTGCCTGCGAGCAGTCCTGCCTGCTGGCGCCTAACCCAGATCATCCGTACAGCAGTGCGGGGCGCTCTCATTGCCTCTCACATCAGCTCGCCTCATCCCATTGTATTTTAATT